GGGGTGGGGAGCAAGAGATGGTTTTTAAGACCCAAAAGGAAATACTTGGAGCATGCATGTGTAGTCCCTGGGTCATTGAACTGGCCTGTGTCCCAGAGCACAGCGTATGGACCACGTGAACCAAGGGGGCCCTTGGGCCCTTCAGCAGATGCCAAAACACAGTCTGAGACTTCAGGCAGAAGCGGGAAGTGTGTTTTGCTGTAAGCCTCGCTTGAGAAGCCAGTGGGGTTTGACCTCTTGTAGAGACAGTGCAGATGCACGCCGCCCATTCATGGATGTTGCCTACCTCTTTGTCACACACCTAGGTATTGCTGACAATATCTAAGGGTACCTTTGCTCTTCTGTTGTGGTTACCTCACTCTCTTTGAAGCAGTTTGGTCTTAGAAATGCTGAGCTATGGAGCTGAGGGAATGTCGGAGAAAGCTAGTGAGGCAGGCGGCGAAATACAAACCAGAAAAGGCTATTTAGTGAAATTTTGCCAAGCTGTTGTACCTAGAGACATTCTTATCTTGGCCATAGAGACAGGGCTTGCAGCTGCGCTTGCAAGAGCCTCCTGTGCACTGATGCTTACTTAGAAAGGCATGTTTTGGGAGTGAGCTCCTATCAGTGAAGAAGACTTGTGCTTGGAGCTTGCAGAGAGGCTCTTCAGGATCCCTCAAGCAAGCGAGCTCTCATGCTGCTGCATAGATTTTGCAGCCCACCCCTTCTGCAAAGGACCATGCTCTCAACCGTGCTTCTGCTCTCGTCCTCCCCTGCTGGCACCTCTGCCGGCTGTGGCAGCGGCTGGGGTTCCTGGGCTGGCATTTCTTTCATTGCCAGCTGTGCTGGAAGCACATATCCCAGGCCTGCTCCCTGCTGCGCAAAGGCAGATTGGCTTAAGCAGACTATGGTAAACCTGTTGTTAATGTTTCACACTTCACTGGACTTGCCAATTGTAGCTGCTGTGATTGCACCCCTGCTGCTTGTTTGACTGTCTGATGGCTCATGGCCAGAGTCTGGAGATAAGAAGTCAAGTTAGTTTGCAGCGGTGAACATAACATTAATCTTACCTTTTGTTTTTTAGGCATAGAGTTAGGGAATACGGAGATAGATGTCTTTCCCCTTGAATACAAAGCCTCTTGGAGAGGAGGAATTCTAGAGTCTCTCTGTTGTCATTGGGGCCATCTTATTTCTCAGCACAAACCCAGTGGATCTAATACCTAGTAAATGAGTAAGCTGGAGTTACACTGAGACTGGGCAGGGGATGAGAACTAGCACCAAAGAAGCTTGATTTCACATCGTGCCTGGCTGGTCCACATCTCCAGTTATTTCATAGTTGCCTCGTTGTTGGATGCATGTCTTCAGGGATGGAGGGTTGGTTTCCTTGGTCTCACTTGCAGTTGTGGTCATGCTTTACTTCAGTGCAATGGACGCTGGGTCTAGCCTTGAGGGAGTGCTCTGCACTTCCCATTGCCCATAGACTTGCTAGGGAGTTGCAGGTGTCCCCATCTCTTGCCACCTGGCTGGCTGAGAGCGCTTTGTTGTGTTTGTAATGGGATGTACTCATCTTCCCTTGTACGTTGTTCTCGGGCTGATGGGACTTGGGAATAATGTGCTCGGATGAGTTGGAGGCAGCCAGCCCAGCCAAGCTTCTGACAATGATGGAAGGTCTTCTTGTGCTGTCTGCCTTGCCAACAACTTCAGCACAAAGTGAGGCTTATGTGCTCGAGCTGTTCCTGGGTTTGTAAGGGTGGCCTAACAGAGTGTGTACACAGCCAAGTGGCTCCTTCAGCAGCGCACGAACAAATCCAAACACGTGAGCAAACCCAAGACTTGCTGCAGCCCTGCCAGCCTCCTCTGGAAGGTGTCCTCTGTGCAATGGGGACACCATGGAGTCCAGACACTTGGGAGCTGCCAGTGTGTGCATCCTGAATAGCCATCCAGTTTCCCTCTCTCTGTACTTGACCCTGGTGCAATAATCAGCACAGTTTTAAGGCACAGCTCTTGTATTCACATCTAGGCCCTGCAACTTGGTGGCTTGTCCCAGGGCGTTTCCCCTACTTGCTTTGTCCCTGTTTAACTTTGGAGACCCTTGAACTACTTCCAGTAGATCTCCAGGGAAGCAGCTAGAAGAAGCAGGCCTACCTACACAGCACAACAATATCTGCACTTGGCCTTTTTATTTAAGGAGCCCATGCTTTGTTTAGGAAGTTTTTAGTGGCCAATCTATCAAAAAGGATTGAACAATCATTGCTACGTTGTAGAAATGAACCTCACTGGAGAAGATGAGACTTTTTTGGGGCTGGTGCAAGGCTGTCAAGAGAAGAACAGCAGTGTTCTACCTCAGCCCTCCCACTTGCTTGCCTGTATGTTTCTGTCAACATGTTTTTTTTCCAGACAAATAGAGAAGTGTGTCTTGATGTGGGTAGAATGGAGTAAAAAAACCCTGAAGTCCTCCTCTGCACGTGTGCCTCTCTGGGGAGAATGGAGCAAAGGTCTGACAGCACGAGCAGCACCATGACCAACAGGGCAGAGCTCGGATACCACGAGTGTGAGCCTGTGCAGAAAGGAGTTGGGAAGGCTGGGATGCAGTTTCATAAGCATTTCTTAGAGCAGTAAATCTTTATGCAAAAGATACACAGCTCTGAAATGTTCATCCTTGCTCCTATGCTGCCCACCTTGTCTTGTTAGTACAGCTGTTCAGGCAGCTGTGCTGTGGACTTGCTCAGAGACATATTGCAGTTAAAAATGACACTTCTCTTCCCTCTCAGGTATTGCTTCTTGAATATGGGGTGGTAAAAGCACAGCACTAGATTTGGGCAGATTGTTTGGAGCTCTGTATTGAGGTGTTTTTGCTCAGCTCTGAACTGGTAGTAGGGCTCAAACCTCTGAGTTGGATGTGCCCTTCCAGCAGGCCAGATGATACCTGTGGTAAGCAGAAGGTGGTTGTTCCACAGTTGTGCTATGAAGCTGAAGTAGTGTTAGGGACCACAGAAATGAAGCCTCTACAGACAAGATCCCCTTGTCCCATAAAAACATGTGTTTGTGACCACCAAGCACCCTGGGTACGTCACCTGTGAATAGTACTGCTGCCTGTAACTCAGCTGTGGCTTTTCCAGATCTGTGGCTGAAGACAGTGTTTATTTATACACAAATGCCTCCTGGAAGTGTTTCAGTGCTATTTAGTGTTCGTTTCTTCTTTCCTTTTTTAAAAGAAGTTACAATAATAATAAAAAAAAAAGGCAACAACAAAACCTTAATTGCACCATCCAGAATTGTACGTGCTTAAAGTGAGTCACTATGGGATCATATAACCATAATCTTTGTCCTCATCTCCACCCTGCTGCTTGTCACTCTCCTTCCCTGAAGCACTGCTTGAGTTCTTAGGAGCTTTTGTCATCTGTAAAACACCCTCTAATGCAGAAAGACTCAACCAAAAATTCTGTTGAATATGATAAAGGATAAAGCATTTATCTGACCTTTTAGTACACACAACTAGAAACTCTTCTAGATAGTTTGTGAAGATACCCGGGTGCAGAGGAACATCTCGATGCTTTTCTAGCAGAGCACGTGTGTCAGTGCCGGAAGAGGGACCATGGCTTGGGGAGACACGGCTGCTGCCTTGTTTCCTTGCAAAATTTTCCACCCTTTGCAGTGATGGAAGTGCTTTATCTTCCCTGATTCTGAATCCTTTCATAAATGGGTTCTTCACAAATTTCCCTTGTTGTTTTGGTGCATTCTGGGGGTTTTGGGGTTATTTTCACTTTCTCTTCTCGGCTGTTGCTGTACTCTGCTAAAGAGAAACCTCGGTCTTCCTCAGAGGTTTTGCTTGTGGAGCGCAGTGGCTCTTACCTCCCTCTGCATCTTCAGAAGCACACTGTAATTTTCTGGTTTGTGCTGTACCTTTCAAATGGGAGATATTCCCCTTTCTTGTCCTGTTAAGCTACTGAGCTTGTCACACTGAGGCGGGGGAAAAACAAGTGGCAGACATCTCCAGTGTACATTTTTCAGTTCCCCTGCCTTAAACTCCTCTTGAAGCAGCTGGGAGCCCCATGTACAGCAGCTGTGCAGAATGGGACACTGTACTGCAGTTTGGGGACACAGATCAGTTTGTCCTTGGTTCACCGAGGAGCTGATGTGTACCTACCGCCAAAAGACTGAACCTGATGCTGTGTGTGTCCCTGTCCCAGTATGTATGTGACTTGTGTTTTTTTGCGCCGCTGTCTGTCATAACAAGTTAAAAATAAGCCCTGGTGTTTTTCTACAGTCTGGGTAGAGTGTTCCTTTGAAAGTTCAAGTGCGAAAGTGATAGGCATTGGCAAAAATCTGCTCCTTTCAGGCTGGTGCCAAAGGGAGCTAATCCCCTTCCCGTTTAGCTTGTCTCTGGGTAGTTTTCAGCATCTTTTTAAGAAGCTGTGCTTATACTTGCTGGTAACACTGTGGTTGATCCCATGTCTGGATTCTAGGTATAAATCCAGCATCTGCACTTGAAAATGTCAATGAAGCTTACAGGAAACAACTGAAAATGATTCCTGAGCTGCTAGAAATGCCTTGCAGCAAGAGCTGTGGAGCTCAGTCTGCTGGGCTCCGCAGAGGTGACAGTGTGCGTGTGCCTTTGTGTGGAGAAAATACTATTCTCCGAGTCTTTAACATGGCAAAGAAAGTCATAGTAAGCACAAATGCTTGCCCTTGGTTTTAGTTGGGTGCACTCAGCGTGGGCATTGGTATAAAACTGTGTGGAGTACAGGGTTTTGTACACAGGGTCTGATGTAGTGGTGGCATGGGCAATTCTGGTCTTAAACTAAAGAAGCAGAGGTGGAGGGGAGAGTGGAGGCTTGTTTTGCAAACAGGGACGAAGATGTAAGTGTGTGCAAACATAGCTGCAAGTGCAGGAGGGGATAAAAAACACAAGTCACACAAATCCAGACCTTGATATTTTTTTTTTTGTTTGTTTGTTTGGTTTTTTTTCCCCTCCCCTCTCCTCCTGATGCTAATTCTCTTGGTTTTTCTTCCCTGTCCAGTATGTCGAGACTTTGCTGTTCTGGAAGATCATACCTTGGCCTATAACTTACAGGAGCAAGAGAGTAAGTAATGATCTTTGGAATAAACTGAAACAAATTTGTCCCAGTGGATACCTGACTTTCTTTGGTTTTGCTAAGAAAAATCCTTCCTACTTTTATTTTATTTTAATTCTTTTTAATGGATTACAGATTATTATTACTGTCTTCAGTGTCCTGTAACACTTCTCTGTGTTCTGCCCCAGCTCACACTGTGCACTAGAGATAGTTACATTTCATGTTTCAATTTTATACTCTCCTGTAGAGTTGAGTTTGTTTATGCTATTTATGACAAAATTGCATGTGGGAGCGCACTTGAGGTTTTGTTGCTGTGCAAGGTTTTTAGAAATGACTAGCAATTTTGGAAGCTTCAAGTTTTACAGGCTGACCTGAGGTGCAACCAGAAGAGGTCTGTTTATTTACTTATTTCAGAATTGCTAGTGCCTGCCTTTTGAAAGGAGGCTTCCTTTTAAGACATTTTGAGGTAGGGCAGCCATACACTGTAGGGTTTAAAAAGAAGAAAAAAAAGTACAACCAGGAACTTCAAAGTGACTGGGTTTTTTGGGTTTTTTTTTTGTTTTTTTTTTTAACATGCTTATCTGTTAGTTGGGATGTGTTTGCGTTGCAGTTTCAGGTGTGGTGGCTTCTCTATTCTGCTTTGCTGGGTGCCAAGACCATTGATATCTACCAGTGCTAGGTGCTAATACCATTCCAGCTATTCTGCCGAGCGTGCAGCTTGTGCTGAAGTTGTGCCCTTGCTGCTGGAACCCGAGACCACCGAATTAAAGCTGGCTCTCAGCTGCAGCTCATGTGGCCATCTTTTCTTGCAGGCAGTGTCCATGTATGGTAAAGGACTTGCTGTAGTATTCAGTTGCTAAATATAAAGGTAGTGAGATTCTGGAACCGATTATGTTGAGAGTGAGAGGAGATTCCTCATCTGGAGGGTCTTGAGAACAAACTAGGAGTGCTTCTGTCAGAAGTGATTTAGGTTCAGCTCATCCTCACTAGCCTCTGGTGGTCCCTTCCAGACCCACTTTATTAATCCAGGGTAGTTTCCCATGGCCAGAAAATGAAATTCAAAGCCTAAAAAGCATCCCCTACGAATCTAGATGTGATGAAGATATGCAGGTCTTGTTTTGGTATCAGACACACTTGTACAGCCCCCTCAGTGCTGAAACAAGGCAACCACAAGCTGCTAGTGTAATTTCAGTTCAGGACTTCCCCACCTTTAGAGATACAATATGATGTTTTCCTGCAAAGGAGTGTCTTCCTTTCTGGCCTGGAATCTCCTTCCCACTTGCTTTGTCTTTTCACACCATGAAGTTCTGCAGGCTGATTTGGGAGTTCTTGTCTGTGTTTATTTCCAGTTGAGCATCACTTGGCAACAAACGTTCAGCGTAATCGTCTGGTGAAGCATGACTTGCAGGTGGCCAAGCAACTTCAAGAAGAGGAGGATCTGAAAGCACAGGCTCAAATCCAGAAACACCGGCAAGACTTGTGAGTTTGGGATGGAGCTGTTGACATGCTGGTCCTGTTTGTTCAGAGCACTGAAATCAGCTGCTTTGATTTGAGTTGATTGACAGTGCGTGAGATTCAGCTTGATCAGCCTTTTGGTTTTGTTTCCTTTTTCCTATCCATTGCTGTAAAATTATTAATACTAGGCTCTGGCACAGAGTAATGAGAATAGGGTGGGAACAGGTGGTCCTGGGGCCCATCCTGGCTTACATTCTGTTGCTCGACTATGGGAAGGAGCCTTCCTGGTCTGCTGCTTATTGGCAAAGTTGGGTTACTTGGCCACTTACATTGACCTTGTCCCTGGCTAAAATCTGAGAAGGAAGAAACTGCACCACAGAAATAGAATCATAGAATGGTTTGGGTTGGAAGGGACCTTAAAGATCATCTAATTCCAACCCCCCTGCCATCAGCAGGGACACCTTCCACTAGATCAGGTTGCTCAAAGCCTCATCCAACCTGGCCTTAAACACTTCCAGGGAGGAGGCATCCAGAACTTCTTTGGGCAACCTGCTCCAGCATCTCACCACCCTCACAGTAAATAATTTCTTCCTAATATCTAATCTAAATCTCCTCTCTTCCAGTTTAAAGCCATTACCCTTTGTTCTATCGCTACCTGCCCTTGTAAAGAGTCCCTCCCCAGCCTTCCTGTAGCCCCTTCAGGTACTGTAAGGCTGCTATATGGTTTCCCAGTACACAGTGTTATAGTGAATTCTCTCACTTGTGGAAATTGCAGATGTTGGTGTGTTTGCATTGTGCCTGATAGGTGCTTTGGAGGAGCTGGGCGCAATGCTTTTTGGTGTCCTGGTGCACTGAACGCCTGCTTGTGCTTGAAGACACTCCAGTGTGAAGTGTCCTGGGAAGAGGAGCTGCTGTCCCAGGGTCAATTGGTAGAGACAGATGCTAAGGGACAGACCTTCTCTTGCAGTCACTGACTTCTGCTGCAGCTGTGGGAGGATGTTTAATGAGTGATCCGTTTTGCTTTACAGGTTTGTTCAGGCCCCACACACCAGATCTAACCCTGTGGCCTGTGATTTGGCTTTCTGTGTGCCATGGCTCTTAGGTGGTGGAGCTGGTGTAGAAATGAAACATCGTAGTGCAGGGCAAAACAAACTACTTTCCAATCCAGAGTTGACACTGGTGCTTTGCTTTTCTTTTTTTCTTGTTTCTCCCCCCACCCCCCCCACCCCTTAGTCTCTTGCAGTGTGTGAGATGTAACAAATGGGTTGTGTGAGTTGGATCCCAACGATAAGAGTTAGTGGCTTGCTCTCTGATGGGGCTCCCTGCAAATGCAGGATCTGCAAGCCAGGATGCATCTCCCAGCAGCTGTGTTGCCTCCCAGCTTGTGTTGTGCTCTGTGATGCCACCCACCAGGTACAGTTGGTGGTGGATCACAGTCCTCAGTGGCTCATCTGGCAGACAGCAATGGAGTAGAAGAGCTCTGTGTCGCAGATGTGCGAGATAAAGGGCTGGCTTCAAAGGAGCTGCTCATAAAAGATTAGAAGCTGGGGCGTGACAAATCAGCCACTGTTTTCAATGTTCCCAGTGTACTCAGGCAACCCTGGGTAGATACATGTGTATCCCTCAAGCTCGTGCTTTCTTTCAATAGCTTTGTCCTCATCACCAATTAGAGATGTGAGCATGTAAATGACAACAGAAAAATTAATTTTGTATGGGAGAGATGATTCCTTTCTGTTACTTGCTGGGAACTGTAAACAATTTTCTTGTTGTAGGACTCTGTCAAATGGGATTTGCTAACTTTGTGAGCCAAGTTACAGGCACAAAATGTTGTGTCAGCAGTGTTCCACTCCTGAAAGCATGAGCACTTCTGCAAGAATAGTAAAAGAAGCTGGAGGCATCCTTTTGTAACTGGATCTTCTTCTTCCTTAGTTCTCTGTACGTTCCCACTGTCCCTTCCCTGTGCAATGTCAGTGTGTTCTGACAAAATGATCCTCGCTGTTGTTGCTTACGGCGTCCTCTAGGACAGTTTGACACTGCAAGGTGATGGAGGAATAGAGAGGTGGAACTGAATGGTCTTTAGAAACAGGGAACATAAAAAAGCCCTTCAAATTTATGGGCTTTCTTCTGTCTTTCAAACCCTAGATTCTCTCAGAAAGACTTTGCGAGGATAAATGAGAGAATAGAAATAACTCTTCTCTTTAAGAATTCAGCATCAAACCTTGTTTTCATGCTTCTTTAAAAGCATCTCTCACGTCTAGCTGAGCAGCCTGCACGCTGCCAAGCATAGTAGCAAGGCTGCTAAAATAACTGTCGGAAATACTGTGAAAATTCACTCTT